ACTAAAAAAATGGGTCCTCCTATTTGCACGATTGAATTCGTGTATTAATTTGATTACTGCGTTTAAACAGTCCCATCATTTCCTTTACAGATTTTAATTGTTTTTATATATCTTTTCTAACTTACTCCCTTTCACTTAAATACAAATTACAAAACACATCCTCTAATAATTTTATTATCTATTTCAAATATATATATGAAATTGTATGTTAATAATCTTAATAATTATACGGTTTGGAATGTTTACTTTTACTATTATGTAAACTAGTATTGGTTTATTTTCTTAAAAATATATATATAGATCTTAAAAAACTATATTAGTTTTATAAATATTTTCAAAATAATATCATTTAAAATATTAAGACTCTGTATTTTATTTTTAATATTACTATGTATTATAACCATTTCCAATAAATTTATTTTTCATCAAAACGTTAATAATATATTTTGTTATTTTAAAAATTCATATTATTAACAATCGGCAATTTATTTCTTTCCTAATCCCTTGCTAACAACATTTATTTAAGTAAATTTAAGTAAACTAATCATAATGTAATGTGTATTAAGAAAACCCAAAAAAATGACAAAAGTACCACTAAGTCGAAAACAGGAAATCTCATATATATATATATATATATATATATATATATATATATATATATATATATATATATATATATATATATATTAGTTTATAACACGTGGAAGCTGACGGTAGGGATGAAAGTGGGTCTAAACCCGGACCGGATGGACCCGAACCTGGAAAACTCGGAACCTGTTAACGAGATTTTGTAGAACCGGAAACCGGATCGGTATATAGGAACCGGTTTTGGTTTGGTTCCGGGTATGACTCTGGGTAAAGTGGGTCTAGAACTGGAAAACACGAAAACATCAAAGTGGGTAGGTTGAAATCAGATAAAGTGGGTTTAGAACCGGAAAAAATCGGATTTTTTTGGTAATTACTTACTACTTAGTGGGTTGAACTTTGAAAATTTTCATATTGATATCCCGACTTTGAGGGATTGTGATATGCATGTGTTAACATTTTCACATAATACAAAGTACAAAAACAAATAGCTGAAAAGTTGAAACGAATGAGATATGCATCTTTTAAACGTTTCACAATAAACCGGTTCCGGTTTTTAGACCCGGTTTACCCGGACTCAATGAACCCAAACTCGGATTACCCGGAACCCAGATAAATCCAATTTTTGAACCCAAAACCGGAACCGGTTCGATATATTCCGGTTCTAACAGTTCCGGTTCCGGTCCGATTCCGGTTCCGATCCGGTTTTTCGGTTCTAGATATCATCCCTACCTGACGGTTACTCCCTATTGTGACCTTGCAAGTTCGCCGAAGTGATTAGAACCCTTGAAGACCAGGTCGCATCAATATATATATATATATATATATATATATATATATATATATATATATATATATATATATATATATATATATATATATATAAGGCTTAGGGATATATGTGGTTGTTATGTACTTAATATTAGGTATAGATCCATTAAAAACAATATAGTTTTTAACAAAATACAATCAAATCTCTCTACCATCTTTCTTGTATCCTCTATTAGACTAGATGATAGACTTTGTACATACTTTTATGGAGTTTTAAAATTTTAATTTTGCCACACAAACTATGTATAAGAATATATTATCAACTACCTATAAATCTTCATATTCAAATTAAAAATTGAAAACTATAGTGAAAGATTGAAATTATTCATTAAAAACACAATAAATTTTTTCTCATAACACATCAAAAAGAACCATGTAAGTATACATATGGTTAGTATCAATGAAAGTTATGAAGCCTACTAGAGGTCTAATATAAAAACATATTCGAAATACATAGATGTTGATGATAAATTTTAAAATCACAAATAATATGAGCTCAAAAGCAATAGGAAGAAGCTAACAATTAAAAAAATGTGTTTATTTAATCAAAATGAAATCAATTTTGATGGTTCTCTACCTAATATTTATATAAATGACAGCCACATATTTATTTTTTCCACATATATATATATATATATATATATATATATATATATATATATATATATATATATATATATATATATATATATATATATATATATATGCGCTAAAATTTCAAAAAATATAAGGTATGATTTGAAAATCAAATATAAATATAAGGGTATTTAATGAAAATTGAAAAGTAAAGATTTTTTAGTTTAACATATTAAAAATTGTCAAAATTTTCAGTGATTTATATCGATTCATCAAAAATTCGTGCATTTGGAATTCAAGTCCCAAATTCAAGTCGTGCGGTTAGAATTACCCTAAAAAAATACATAAAATACTATCACATTGATGTGACATAAAATACTAAAATAACAACTTGTAAAATTTCATTGAAAAACTTCCGTGTAATTACTCAGTGGGCAAAATGAATATACAATCTCAATCGAAAAGAATTTAGTAGCTACTCTGACAGAAAGATTATATTGTTGTTGTGATGTTATTTTGTTATTGAAAGAAGCGTCCAATCGATAGAATTTCGAAGAGTTTGAGATATTATTATTTTTGAATTGGGTCAAAACCCATTGTTCTGTGATTCTAATATCACTTTTTGGGCATTTTACTGCCCTTATAATATACTTTCTTTTTATGTATACAATAAATTTTTTGGTTTGTACTAAAATAATAATATATTTTTAAAAATAAATATTTTTTAATGAAACTATTCCTCATTATTCATTAAATTATCTCATTAGTTAAATTATCATGAAATTTAATGCAACAAAAAGGTAAAAATATCATTTCATTTAATAAAGTTAGTGATAATTAATGTTTCATTAATTATTATTATTATTATTTTTTGTTTGTGGATAATAATTTTGGGATGAAAAGGATATCAAACTTAATACATTTTTTTAAAATAGTTGAATGATATCACCAAGATGTTGTATAAGGTTAGAGACAGATTGATTTTCATTAATATAGAATGTGAAGATATCACATATCTTTTTTATTATTATTTTTTATTTTTTATTTTTAAATTTAAATTTATGCTTTTTGTATTTTTGTCGGATTAGGTTCATAATTCTGTCTGTTTCAATAACATTTCGTCGCCTCATGATCCACCACAACGAAAATGTCATCTTCCAAGTGTTTTAATGACACATAAGTTGGTTAGATCTCTAATGCAAACCACCACAAGAACATACACATGATCTTATTTTGTCGGTTTATAGAGTACTTCCACTATGTGGACCATAAATTGTATCTAAAAGTTAGAAAATTTTACTTGTGGCCTTGAATTATGGAGAGCTAGAGAATTGATTAGGATGATAGCTATATGGAGACTTTTCCATTGATGATATTGTAATCATAATAAAGAAGTAGGAACCATGAGAGGACATGAAATAGACCTCAGTAGGTGTATCTCACTATCATTTTCTAATTGAGAGGTCATGACCTAAATGTTTCATGTACTCCTTTAATTTCAACTAGTAATTAAGGACCATTTTAGGAAACCATGTTTTAGAGGAAATAAAACGTGTTTTCTCTGAATATGATTGCAATCCTCTGATGCTTTAATTTAATCACGTTTTGTGCAACTAGATTGTCAAAATTATGCATCCACATCACACTAAACGTCAAACTCAACTTGATTCGTTAATACTCATATATGATTAATATGTTATATTAAGAAGGTATGAACGTTGAAGTCGATAGTTTTCAAGTTGATTAATTATCATGAAAACGAAGTTCGATGCACTAATAAATGGTTTTGTGTTAACGATAAGGAATCAAAATTGTCACATAATACGTAAGAGATATTGTTGTTATGTATTGGCATTAAATGAGATGATAGTTTGGTGCATTAATCACAACAAATTTTAGAAACTTGTCTCATCTATAATGAAATCAACATTATTTTTTTTTTTTTTGGAAAGGGAACTTCCCTAACGAGGGTTTCCGGGCTAGCTTTCGCGCACCGACTAATCCCCCGCTGCAAACATAAAGCTTTGCTTCATGCCCTGGAGTCACTGCAGGCGAACCTCCATGACCACAAGGGCTGAGTGGTGTCAGGATTTGAATATGGATCAATAGGTTATCCACTATATCTTCCACATGCCTTACCAAGTCACCACAACCTAAGTGGTTTTATTTTCTATTGTCTTTCAAACACTATGGAATTAACAAATATGAATGTATGTATATTGTTTCTTGTTGGATGTCATTTTTTATAATATATTTACTGGTTAAAAAAAAAAGAGAAATTAAATTGCTTCCTACTTTTTATGCCTACAAATGTTCCTACCCAATAAAATTATGACAAATGTCATCATTCCATATTTTTTTTAACTAACCCATTAAGACTATATTAGGAATATATCAATTACAATTAAATTGAATGATGATTTATCATAATTTTAGTGGGTAGGAATAATTGTAGGCATAAAAGGTAGGAGTTAATTTAATTTCTAAAAAAAATGTATATTGTTTTATAGTGCTTGAAGTTTTGCTATTTTCTAGTGGTTAGCTTTATATATAGCCTTCATTTGGATCATATATATGCATATTAATAATGAAGATGGTGAAGACACCATTAGGGATTGAGCCGTATTTGGTAATTCACTGTGATTTTCGGCCCTATACTCTTTAAAACTCATCTAGCCTAATCTGAATATTTTCTATAAATGAACAAAGATTGGGGATTTAGGGTTAAAGTTATTTCCTTTGTGGGGTTATCTAGGTCCTTGAACTTGCTATAAATTGCATCATAACCATCTCCTAACTATTCTTTTACGATCAAGATTTATCTATTTTTATGATAAAATTTTCTATCAACCTAAATCAGTGAGACTTTCAAGTTTTAGAAAGTACATAACTATACATACCTTAGTACCTATCCCTTTTTTAACACTAAAACACAATGAAATTTAACATAAAACCCCTCAAGTTCTCACTTTAGATATAAACATCTGAAGAAGTCAAAATCATATCACATAATTTGGTAAAGATCAATGTAGCCTTTTGTACTTCATGATAAAAGCTTATAGGCTTATTTTGTGAAACACTAACAACATCTTTTACAATTAAAATTACATCTTTTTACAAGGTACATTGGTAAATCTCTCAACATCATGATTCGTGAGTAGCTAGCTAGGTTTACCAACGGATAACTGTTTTTTTGTGAAGGAATTGATGTCGTCTATACCTTCAAAGTATCCCGTAGGATTTTCTATATTATTCTTTTTACATATTCAAGAAAAATTATTCATCTCAAGAAAAGGAGGGATTTTCTTTGTAAATCCATAGAAAAGTTTGTTTCTTGCTAATTGTTGACTATACAAAGTGAAGGTGGAGTGGAATTCCAGTTTAGCAAGTCTTCTATCATCTGCATGACCACCCTATTTTCTTCATCTATGTCATGATCACCTGAAGCACCGTCGTCCTCCACCACTGCCACCACTGGAGATATTGTTTCCTCCACCATCCCTTGATCTTTTCTCTTGCCACCAAACTCCACCTTCATCACCCAACCTGAACCTGACCCTTTTCCAGGGCGTTTCTGCCATACTCCAATATGTGAATTATCACTATCAAGACGTAGACATGTGAGTGAAGGCGATGGATCCTTGCAGCATTTACGTAGTTTGGCAGCAAGTGTGGCTGCCGGAATCTCTGTCTGGCGTGATGACGGAGAGTGGTGAACGTTGCCGGAAACGTTCTTGTTGGTCGCCGGAAAATTTGTCTTTGCGCTTTGGCCGTTCATCAAAATGGCTGCTTGGTCATATGCCCTGGCTGCTGCCTCCGCCGTCTCAAATGTTCCTAGCCAAATCCTTCTCTTCCTGTTGTACAACTTGCATCAAAGTTTATACATCCATATCAATTATTACATAAATATTTTAACAAGTATATATGTATCAATATCGACATTCGACAGCTCGCACTATTTACATCCATATAATATCAATTATTGAATTGGAATTTATGAAACTCAAAATCACAAAAAGATTTTTTTTTTTTTTTTATCATTTTATATTCTTAACTTCTACATTTAAATACCAGGATTTTTTTTACGCACATTCATCATACACATGCATATTATACACCACTAGATAAATGATCCACAACCAACGAACAAATTCGTTTGCAAAACAGTGACAAGTTACATTTGTAAAAAGTATGTTCCTTAAACACGACAAACTTTGAAAAAAGTGACTTGTTAAACATACGATGTTTATTTGTTTTCATTATAAAGAGCTAACATCAAGTGAGAATTATTCCATAACTTCATATATAAGAAAATTATTGTAAAATATGATTGGTAAGTTATTAAAGAAAATGGAGAAAAATGGTGAACTTACAAGAGTGGGTGTCTGATCTCAGATACCCAAGACCCCCATTGCCTTTGCCTGACACCTCTGAACTTCTTCGACGATTGTGCCATGATAGATTAATATGCATGTGGTGTGGTTTGACAGAGGGAAGAATTTATAGGAGATGAGAAGTAGATGATCAAAGTCGGTATATTACTAGGAGAGGGGATGTGGGTAGGTATAGGCCATAGGGTTGGGGTAGGGTGGTTTGGCTTAGAGACACAAGATCGTATAGGGGATGATCAGAAGTTATAAAATAAAAGTTAAATAGTTTTGTAATAACTCGTAGTATAACAAAGTTACACACCATTTACCATGAATAAAAAATGAAATCTACCTATTTAATTTAAATATAACCTTTGTAATTGGGATGTGATATTTTTATTTATATTTTTTTATTGGGAAAATGACATAAATGTCCTACGAAGTATCTAGGGTTGGTTCATTTAGTCTCTAAAGTATTTTCATTGCTTTATGATGGCATCAACTAGTTTTTGATGGGTCTATTAGGTTCTTTTGGAAGAATTGAAAGGGTAAACCGGATCCCCTTACCACATAAGCATTTTTTAAGATACCATTTCCCTTGACCCATGTATGTGATAAATCATCTTCCATTTGCTCTTCAAATACCTAGAAACTGGATGTTACACAAATCTACGACAACGTTTCCCTGGTTCTTCCCTCCATTTTGTTCTTCGTCCTTCACAAAATACCAAAGTCCATGATCACAACAAACTCTTGGCATGGGGCTGTGATTTCTATGATCTGTCGAGTAATGGATGTAGCGGTGGTTGAACCTTTTGGTTTTAGACCGGAGAGGTAACTCTTCATGAGAGTCGTGAGGTTTTCACTCGGGTATTTCCTTACAAACTGAAGTAGCAATCTTCCTCGTCATCTAGGAAATTAGGGCTCCCTAATTTGACAAATCAATCCCAGTTACATTTTTCAACAAGGGCATCCAAACACAGCTATTAAGTCGGTCTGCTAAGAGGAGGGAATGATTCAGGTGGTTCAGAAAGGAGAATGGATTCGGAAATGGAAGATGAGGGAAGGATTCAAGTAGTTCAAGAAGGAGAGGGCGATTTGGTGGTGAAGAAGAGAGAGAAAAAAAATCAAAGAATAGTTTTGCGTTGCATACATTTAACTGATTATATTCTTTCTGTTTGAGATCTGATATGGAGATTAAATACCTGATTATGTTTTTGATAGGCCTGTCAATCGTGTCGTGTTCGGGTTGATGTGTCGCGGATTGGCGGGTCAAAATATGTCAACCCAAACACGACTCATTTAAATATACAGGTCTCGGGTTGGCGGGTCACGGGTTGACGAGTTTGGAACATAAACTCATATATGACCCGCGAACCCATTTATTTATACGGGTTCACAGGTTGGCGGGTTCGTGGGTTAGATTTGGGTTCGTGGGTCAGATTCCATAAATAAAATTAACAATTAAACATGAATAAATTCTTGATAGTTGATGCAAATATATCTGAATTTTAAACACTTAACTACTTAAGTCTTAAACTCTTAAACGTCAAAATGAAAATAAAAAACATTCATAGAAACATGTTCAAAGTAAACATTAATACAAACATAGATAATTCAAGTGCTATAGTAATAGCCACAATTCCTATTTTTTTCTCCCAAAAAACAAAGTTAATTCTTCAACACCATTTTTTTTATTTATGATGAACTTCAACATTCAAGTAGAAACAATAGCCAAAGTTAAAACACATACAAGTAAAATTATAAAAATGTATAGTTGTCATGCAGTCATTGGGCTATGCCCGATATACGATTTGAGTTAGGGCAAAAATCGGAAAAATCAAATGGTTACAGAATACAGATTTACGGGTTAGTGAGTTAAGACCTTAGGAGTTACATTTAAAAATATATTTTTTTAATTAAAAATATAAACAGGTTGGCGGGTCAACCCGTTTATTTATTGAGAAACCCATATATGACCCGTTTAACAAACGTGTTGGCGGGTTGGCGGGTTGAAAAACTCAACTCAAACCCATTTATTTCGTATCGTGTCGCGGGTCGTGTCGAGAATTGCCAGCCCTAGTTTTTGATGATCTTGACAGACATAAATTTGCAACGGTAACACAGAGGAGTGTTTCCGTAAGTATGAAGGGAAGTGGAGCTGTAATGATGCAAAAAGGAGGTGATGACTCAAAGAAATCGAGTACTCCATGGATTCTAGATCCAATTACAGGTTACTACAAGCTAGAGGGACAAACCTCCGTGAACAGATGTTGAAGCACAAAACTCGTGGATAACAAAGCAAACTCATTGAAATTCATCTCCATAAAGGAGAACATATTTAGAAATGGAAGAGGAGGGGAGGATTCAGGTAGTTCAAGAGGGTGATGATGATTTGGTGGTGAAGTAGAGAGAAGAAATGAAATATTTTCTCGTTATAAAACAAGAGAGGATGATGGGTTTGTGTTTGGATTAGGTAACCAAGAAATTGTCAAAATGTGATGTTAACTTTCCAATGACTGATGTTGCAAAAATAGCTGACTTGACATTGAATCCGGCTAAAACAAGTTATTGTGATTAAAAAAATAGGTTGTTTCCTAACTTATGCTCCTATAAAACAACAAAAATAGTTTAATGACTAAATAAACTAATCCTAGAAACTTCTTAAGACATTTATGTCATTTTCTCCTTTTTATTAATCTATATAAAATAAAAAAGATTTGATTTTTATATCTTTCATTTTAGTTGAAGATGAACGATTATCATTGGAGTATAAAAGTCAAAGATAAATAGAAAACATAAAATGAAAATATACACCCCCCCAACCATTTTTGATATTAGTCATTGACCTTATTTGCATACATAACCTATGTTGGGGGTTAATCTATAAACTTTAAGACTCAATTTGTTAGTTAATTTTGAAGCTCCAGTATTTTTGAAAAATATGAAACTAAGGGGTTATTTTTTTCGATATTGGAAAGATGTGATGTCTTATGTCCCCAATCCCACTCCTTTCTCATTAAGCCTTGTGTTTAAATAACGATTTAAAATTTTGAAGCAATTAGACGTTCCAAATAGTTTTCTAACATTACCTTCATGACTTCAAGCTATGAAGGTACTTTTTTTTTCCCATTTGATGTCCCCTAATAATGGTGCATCACATGTTTGATTAAAAAATCTTGAAGTTTTGGATTTTTACTAATAAATTCTAGTGTCTATTTCCAATCTATTGAAGTTGATCCATGAATCTAGCCAAATTTGATGTTATAAAGCTAATACAAGATTTTGAGCGTTAGATTTGATGAAACAATATTTTATTCATTAAAATATGAATTTGTAGTTTGATTTAGTTTTATCCAATGGTATGAATTTTGGTTTCATCATCCTAAGTTCAAATAAATGTTAAGGATTTAACCATTGAAGTCATTTTTTAATTTATGATGCTTTGATAGATATTTTGAACCTTATCAATGATGGATCACTCTTTGATTCATCAAGTTTCAAAATTGATTATGAAATTAATATCATAATATGACTTGGATATAGATTTATCTATTCTATGTTCAAACCATCAAAAGAAATCAAATATAAAAGTCATGAATCATGTTTTGAAGGTTAATTGGAAAGAATGGTGATGATATCTTTATGTGATGAATCAATATTATTAACGATTCATAATATAATCACTTAATTTCATAGTGTTTCGAACCTAGTATAAGTATTAGAAATCACAAAAAAATGGGTGTTGGAAGTGTCAGAATTGGATTTGACATAAAACCTCAACATAATGCACTATTTTTGTCTAGCTATATAAGTCTTGTAGAAGATTTAACAAGACATTATTGGCATGAGGTCGAAGTTGGACCAAAAATATATCATTAGGTGTAGTGTTACAAGGCCTTACATATTAGTTGCTAGCCCTTGTATACATGGGTCGTGTAAATTAAAGCATGCATTTACATGGGCCATTTTTTCATTTCTGCACACACACAAAACTCGATTTTTCTCAAAATAACACTATACTTTGCATAGTTCTTGAAGACCCTTTTCCAAATCACTTTGTACCATTTATTTAGGTTCTCACACATGATTAGGAGGTGTTTTATCATCCAAAAAACTCCACTTAATCCATTAATTTCTCATTGAAACCTTTAAGATCATGATGATCCTTAGACTTTAAATGAAGGGTTAGTTAGTGCATTCCACACTTGAACATTCCAAAGTCCACAAAACTTGTTCTTAACTTGTTGTATACTCATTAGGATGTTGTCAAGTGTACGAAACCACAACTAATCTCATTTTAAAGACCTAATATAAGTATGAAATCCTCAATTCCATTCCACATTCCTAAATTTCCCTTTGGGTAAAGAATAACTACGACTAGAACTTTACTAGGATCCCTTCATTTTTATGTTCTGATTCATCTATAGAGTGTTAATTCATATCCATGAATGTAATTCACCTCCTAGATGCCAAACATTATATAGTTCTCAATAGATTTCCCAAAATGCCATTTTCAGTACAAACTCTATGGATTCATTCAAGAATCAATCAACACTTATTATTTTGCATCTAAATCATTCTAATAGCATTCGTTCATGGTTATGAAGTTCATTTGCTAAAAAACTATACAATAATGCATAAAATCCATTGATGTCATCATATCTTTCCTAAAATCACCTAAAATTCATGTTTATGAAACGTACTACCGTCATGGATGTGTTTGAGTATTCCAATTGGATTCATTGTCATCAAACATCATCTAGGTCATTGAATTGATTCCAATTTAACATATAAACATGAAATCCATCATTTAGATTTTTAGGATTCATGAGGGTTTTCACCCAAATCCTCAAATCCATCAATGAGATGATTGGATTGAGATTAGGATAATCAAAACAACTCAAGGGAGGTTAGAAACCAAAACCCTAATCATCAAACCCAATCAAATTCGACATTAGGGTTCACCCCCTTCACCAATTCAAATTTTAAGCTAAATGGGGTGGAGAGTTTTACCTTGCAAGCCTTGAATCCTTCTCTCCTTTGCTTGGTTGCTTAATTTGCCACTTGAATCACACCCTACATGGAAGGTAGAAGAAGAATATCCATTAGAAGCTCTCTAGAATGCTTCATACATATCTGGAAGAGATGTAAGGAGAGTTTTCATCTAATTTCCCTCTTTTTCACATTTAGTCCCTCTAATTTTGCATTTTTGTCAAAAATGGTCCAT